TCAAATCCGGGGGAGAGTGCGGATGAGCTCCCTCTATCAGCTCCAGCTTCCACAAGGATGATAAAACATCAATACATCCGGGTGTCCCCTGGGCAACGTCCTTGCAGATGGTCAATTCTCTTACATAAGAAGCGACTTGTGGTTTCTCAAGTCACTCCTGACATGACCAAAACAAACAAATAAAAAACAAAGCAAAGCAAAACTCTCAGTTTATTTATTTGTCGTGTCAGAGCAACCAGTCCATTATATTACATTTCTAACAGAACAAAGCAAACAAACAGAAAAATACAAAACTTGTGAGTTTGGTAGTTGGTTAAATGTCCTTTGACCAGTATCTGGCCACTTGGAGTACCTCCGGTGTTGCTGCAAGAAGGTCCTCCATTGTGCATGTGGCTGGGCTCATGTTGCATTGCAGCAGGTGGTCAGTGGTTTGCTCTTCTCCACACTCACATGTCGAGGATTCCACTTTGTAGCCCCATTTCTGAAGGTTGGCTCTGCATCTCGTGGTGCCAGAGCGCAGTCTGTTCAGCGCCTTCCAAGTCGCCCAGTCTTCTCTGTGCTCAGGAGGGAGTTTCTCATTTGGTATCAGTCATTGGTTCAGGTGCTGGGTTTGAGCCTGCCACTTTTGGACTCTCGCTTGCTGAAGTGTTCCAGCGAGTGTCTCTGTAGATCTTAGAAAACTATGTCTAGATTTAAGTCGTTGACGTGCTGGCTGATACCCAAACAGGGGATGAGCTGGAGATGTCTCTGCCTTGGTCTTTTCACTATTGGCTGCCACTTCCCGGCGGATGTCAGGTGGTGCAATACCGGCTAAGCAGTGTAATTTCTCCAGTGGTGTAGGGCGCAGACACCCCGTGATAATGCGGCATGTCTCATTAAGAGCCACATCCACTGTTTTAGTGTGGTGAGATGTGTTCCACACTGGGCATGCATACTCAGCAGCAGAGTAGCATAGCGCAAGGGCAGATGTCTTCACTGTATCTGGTTGTGATCCCCAGGTTGTGCCAGTCAGCTTTCGTTTGATATTGTTTCTGGCACCCACTTTTTGCTTGATGTTCAGGCAGTTCAAGAACTGAAACTCAGTTCAAGAATTCGAAACAAGATGTCAGTGGATGAGAAAAAATGGGCTTAAAATGGGCCAGGCTTTAGCATGGTGGGTTAACCGCCAGCTGCAGTAAATCTTGCCAACTGAAAGGTTGACAGTTTGAACCCTGCATCAGGGTGAACTCCTGGCCTAGCTTCTGCCTACCTAGCAGTTTCAAAAACAGCAACGTGAGTAGATAAATAGGTACCGCTTAAAGCAGGGAGATATTTAAGGCACCCATAAGAAAATGCCAGAGAAATGCTGTTGATTCGATCGAGGAGGAAGTTTATGAACAAATTTCTTTGGCAGGCAAAGTGGAGTGGCAGGAACCCCCTCCCTCGCCCCCATGGCCAGAACTAAGCACAATCTCCAAGATGCCAATGATGGGAAAAACCTATATATACCTCTCACTTTATACAGTTGTTTGTCTTGTCAGTGCATTGAATGTTTGCCATATATGTGATTTGTGATCCGCTCTGAGTACTCTTTGGAGCGAGAAAGACAGAATATAAATACTGTAAATAAAATAATAAATTAAAACTAACCTTTAAACAATGTGGTATAGACTCTAAGAATTGGGAAGCCCTGGCTCTTGAGTGTTGTAACTGGAGGTTAGCTATTACCAACAGTACTATGGACTTTAGAGAGGCATGAATGGAGGGTGAAAGGAAGAAATGTGCCAAGACACATCAAACAAATCCTTGTGGGGACCACCTTCTATCTGGAAAGTGATGTCCTCATTGTGAAAAACCAAGCAGATCCAGAATAGGTCTCTATGATGATGACGTTGCCATTTCTTATTCCAGTTAATGGCTATGCCTTCAATGTTATCGACAGTTGAATTATAATTTTGCTATCTATATAAATAAAATGTAATAAAATGTAATGTTCGTTTGTGGGATTAACATTCAAAAACCACTCTATGAATTGACATGAAATTTGGACACTACACCCCTAACAGACCAACGAGTGACCATCACTCATAAATTCCTCCCAAAATATAGCGGAAAGGACTTGACCCCCCCCCCCCCGCCCAAAGGTAAAGCCAATGGTATTTTGGCCTGCATCAATAGGAGCATAGTGTCTAGATCTAAGGAAGTAATGTTACCCCTCTATTCCGCTTTGGTTAGACCACACCTGGAATATTGTGTCCAATTCTGGGCACCACAATTCAAGAGAGATATTGACAAGCTGGAATGTGTCCAGAGGAGAGCGACTAAAATGATCAAGGGTCTGGAGAACAAGCCCTACGAGGAGCGGCTTAGGGAACTGGGTATATTTAGCCTGAAGAAGAGAAGGCTGAGAGGAGATATGATAGCCATGTATGAATATGTGAGAGGAAGCCACAGG